CCCTTGGGAGAATATGGCCAAGGAACAGATCTGTAGGCTGGCCCCAAGAAGTGCCTCGGGGGTAGACCCGCTGACCTGGATTGAGGACCGTTACTGGTCAATCCCCAGAGCAAATTCATACTTGCGAGAGGAAGAAGATAGAGGAACAGTTAGACAAAATCTAACAAAGGATAAATTCTGGGTCAACTTAATCAAGGATTGAAGAAGGTTACCGCTCCCAGACAACCCCCCCTAAAACGGATGGAAGAAGTCTTGCGACAGCCTTTGTTTGGGAACAGAGCGATTACCGATCGACAAGGCCGGGTGTTTAGTAGCTTGGACCCCCAGTGGACCGCGTGGTTTAGAAATGGGGTCCTCCGAGTAGGGGATATGTGAGACGAGCCTGCTAAGGATTGGAAAACCACCCAACAATTGAGACTCCATCTGCGATAAGCCCACAATTTAGCAAACAAACTGGAACAATTGATATTCTTCATACCCTTAGCTTGGGTGGTGATCTTGAGAAAAGGACCAAGCTCGCAGGAACAAGACTGGGTGACAGTCACGCTGGAGGACTCACCCTTACAAATAGGGTGTGTCGTGGAGGCGAGAACTGAAGGATCCATGGTAAACCTGTTCGAAAGAAAGGAGGACGACACTCTGGTAAGGTACCACCCAGACTCAGTCCAATGGCACGAGAAAGCCAACCTGTATTGTATACGAGTACTGCAGACACACAAGGGAGGAATAATAGAATGGCAAGCCTATCGCCCGGAAGTCCCCCTATCCACTCTGGCCCTAGACCCGCTAGAATGGCAATGGGTGAGAAGTCAAACAGGGCAAAAGGTAGAACTCTTTGGCTTGACGGTAAAGAGCACATACATGATGATTAGACCCAAAGTGGATGTGAGGACAGTGGTGAGGGAGAGGTGGAAGAGACACTTAAACCTAGGAGATGATCAAATAAAAGGAATAAAGTGGTTTAAAGGAATTATGGAAAGACTGACCAAATTTGCCGCCCTGCAATGGCAGATTCTTCATAGATGCCTTCCCACCAACAACTGGATCATAGACAAAACTAATCTGGAACAGAAAGGGGAAGCCCTTCCATGATGTCAAATCTGCCCAACGGGATTCCCGAGCCGCAAAGTTTGTGAAACAATGGAACATATTTTTCTCCAGTACCCAGGGGCGGTTCTAATGTGATGCTGGTGAGACCGCATCTGGTCTCAACTCGAAACTGAGGACGAATGGCCATGGAAATGAGAATCGATATTATTAGGAGAATAGGGTTTCATCACACCATTAGTTTCATCATCTGATTATTGTTATATTAAGCTTTTTGGTGTTCTGAAGTTTTGGTAGCATCTAGCATTCTTCCACATTCGGGATATAGGACTTCAGAGATGGTTGAACCTGGACTGATTTCAACTGAGTTGCTATGTTCTGTGCCCTTGGTTTGCCGATGCCAGAACGACGCTGGCCGGAGCTGGGGCGTTGCCCTGTAACCTGTTAATAGCAGGAGCGTGAGGCCTTGTAGAGAGATCTGGGGTTTGCTGAGGGTGGAAGGCAGTCTAGTGGTGAACCGGGGGGGGCTGCAATGAAGTGAGAAGAGATCAGCTATGGTTGACAATTAGTTAGGTGCTTTTGTCTTTGAGGTACAGTGTCCTAGTATAGGGAGGGCTGGGAGTTGTTCTAGGATTAGGAGGCCAGAATAGCTGATATAGCATATTTTTGAAATAATTTTCTTTAATTTTTCATGTTTTTGAATCATCATTCTCATTAGCATCATTAATCAGTTTCATTAATATCATCATGGTCATCATTAGCGGTTTCCGTATGTTCATTCCGGGCAGACTGTGAGGACCCCGGCCTCAATCTTATTATTGGTAATATCAGCCTTGGGCACTGGGCCCAGTTTAAAAAAAAAAAAAAAAAAAAAGGGTAGGCCACTAGCCTCCAACTACGCCACAAATCTGTTTGGCATCGCCAGGAAAGCCGTGGTATGGATGCTATGGACAAGGAGATGCGTGTTTGATCAGGAAGGGGCCAGCATGGGAGAAGGGGAAGCAGGAGAGATAGTCAGACACTTCATAGAAACGGAAATAAGAGTGCAGTGGAACAACGTGCAGGAAAGGTTAACTCATTTGGGAGGGGAAAAGGGAGGCAGGTTACCACACATCGTTTGCCACGGGGAAAGAGGGGATGAAAAGGAAGGCAATGAATTCACCAAAAACAGCAAACTTCAGTTTCACGAATGGCTGCAAGTCAATCCGGATATCCCAATGAGGAGTCCAGAGGATTTTCCTGATATGTTCCCCCCTGCAGCCACAACAATCGTAGATATGCGATGGTTTGGGTGGGAGTAAGGAGCTCAGAGATCTGCGGTCATCATCAGCCTTCTGCATCTCAGCAGCAGCATCATCAACATCACCTACCTATAGCACCCAAATATCAGGGACAGCAAATATGGGACGCTGGGCCTGGTTCCCAGCAAGTGCTATCTCAATAACTTCACTCTCAAAAAAGGGGGAACAAAGTATCCTACTCAGTTCGTACTCTGTAATCAATGGCGTGGGGAGGGAGGAACTAGCATGTAACAGCAGTTATCCGACGCCGGTTTCATGGTGAAGAGGATCCCCCCTCTCTCCAAAATCTTGCTCAGTCAATCCCCTGGATTCCAGGGTAATCAATCCTGGCAGGAACCTCCACAACCTCTGTTCTGATATGCTTTGAACTCATGTTTGTATATGGGACATTGGACCCACTTTCCAGCAGGCGATGCTCCCCACCAATAGATGGAGCCGCTCCCCAGGTGGTAGTGGTGTCTGCTCGTATCAACACCACTAACACTGAAGGGGGTGTTTGTTTGAAAAAAAAAAAAAAAAAAAAAAAGGTGGTGGGTGTTTTTGCCTTCTTTCTTTTTCCTTTTTCTGAATAGCAATAGTTCCATTCTAGTGGTGGGGAGCTGCACCTGCCAGAAGCCGGGTCCAGCGTCACACAATGAAGATACAGCTTCTCTGTACCCTCTGGTTAGCGAGGTTTTTTCTTTTTGAGGGAAGTATGTTTATGTCACATGGGAGTTTGTAATGGGCAGAAAAAATAAGCAGTCGGCAACTTTGTCATGGCCTGAGTTCAAAAAGGCGGTTGTAACTCAGGCCGGCAGTGGTGTCAGGGTGGCGGTTTCTTTAAGGCGTTTTTTTTTTTTGGCGTCAGTTTTTTTTTCAGCGTTTTCTTTTTTCTGTTTTTTTTTTTTATACAGCTCAGCCACATTTTCTGGGTCACGTCAAT